TGACTTCCACATCATTGAGCAAGTTATTAAAATCCACAAGAATAAAGTATCTCATTACACAGGAACAGTAAGAGCAGGGGTCGCGCTCTGGAGAAGCAAGCTGACAGCGGCACAGAGAAAACACAGAGGGATCGAAGTAGACTTATTAGAGAGCTTATATGGTTCTAGCTCTCCTGATGGTATATGAAAGCCTCAGTGTAAGTGACTAGCTGAACAGCTTGATAAAGAGTTACTGACGGGCCTTTTATTGCTGCCTCAGTTCTCAGTAATAACTGAAATAAAAATGCTATTTTAGTTCATTTATGTATTCTGTACGGTTATACTGTCGTGTTGGGTCCCAAGCCCTACTCCATAGAAGCCATGGGTTCCATACACTGCACTGATGATGGCCAAAAAGCCGGAACAGCTGCATGCAGTCTGGAATAAATGGCTCTATAATATTAATCTATATTTGCACTATACAGCAGCGGTTCTGGATGTGCTTCTGGCCAATGGGGTGCAAAACAGTGATTTGCATGGCTCCGCCCACTGTCAAGGAAATGAGGAATATGTGACTGAATGACACATGTGAATACATTCTGTTTTTTAGAAGGCTTTAGGGCCAGTGCACACCTGGGCGATCTGTGACCGCGCGGCAATTGTGCACGATACCGCGCGGTCACGGAGTCGCCCATCACCGACGATCGTGCTGTGGGTACCATTATTTTCTAATGGCACCCCAGTCGCGCTGGGCGGATTGCGCAGTTTCCCGCCACGATTCCGCTCGTGTATCCGAGCTAAAACAGCCACGCACCGCGTATTGCCAAAAAAAGGTACATGTACCTTTTTCTCTGCGATTGCTGCACGGATGAACCCCATTAAAATAAATGGGGCCATGCAGCAATCGCTGTCTGCAATTGTGCACGACTGCGTGATTCCGGGCGCACGTCCCGGATCGCTTAGGTCTGCATTGGGCCTTAGTGCGCTATGCACTGATTAGAGTGAGGGCTTATTGATTGTTTTGTCTCTTTCACCCTAACCTGTATGGTTATACTGTCTAATGAAACAATCAATAAATACATTTCACAAAGAATTAGTATACCTGAATCTGTTTTCATATCGGCTTTCTGTAATCACCTGCAAAGCAGCCATAACACTGGTGGAGGGAGAGACAACACTCTGAGCCAATCAGGTTCCTATTGCTGTCATTCGATAGATTGAACATGCTGATAGGAGGAGAGAGAGCAGAGTGATGACCCACTGTACTGGTTCTCTCTCATTGTCTAGTTTGGGGACAAGTCAGGGCCCACACTGTAATAGAGAAAAGTGAGGTCGCCTATCTGATTGTGCTTGTCTGGAGTACAAAACTGGTTGAACACAATTACAAATTCTTTGTAGGTAAAACAGATTTTGTATGCGTATTTCAACACTGCATGTGAAGGTTTGCCTGGAGTTCAGCTTTGAAAAGAATCTTGTATATAATTGTATCAATACATGGTAATGTTTAGGAACCTCATTTTTTGTATAGTAGGGATGCACCGATACCAGTTTTTCGGTATCAAGTACGAGCACCGATATTTATATCTCGGTACTCGCCGATACCGAGTACCGATACTGGTACTTCCGCTAGCATGGAGCCGGCTTCCCGGCCAATCCTGATTGGCCGGGAAGCCGGCTCCCTACTGTTTGACCAGCTTGATGCTGATTGGCCAATCAGGAAGCTGGAAGGCAAGTCATTGCCCCCATTCTGTTTGGCTGGCCTTGCGGCACTGCCAGTCAGAGGAAATCTTCCTCTGACCGGACAATCCTATATCGGGGGTAGGTATCAGAGCATTTGGGCGAGTACAAGTACTTGCCCAAATACTCAGTATCGGCACTGATAACAATACTAGTATCGGTATCGGTGCATCCCTAGTGTATAGTTTTATATATATAGAGTTAGCATGGAAGTTTCATCAGCTGCTTCTTTTAAGTTATCTAACAAAAACATAGTTGTCAACAATTTTAATTAGTTGGTAGTTTGGCCTGCAGTTTGGCCAACAACTGTCCACTTGGCTCCTGAAAGTACTCAATTCAAGTTTGTCAAGCCGGGTAGTGCCAGCAGGGCCACCCACGGCTCATAGTATGGTCAATGCAGCAGGAAACGTCCAAAATTATGTTGGGTATGGCTACTTTAAAGCTGGCCCAACAATTATAGATTCCTTTTGTTCAGCCTGCAAGCTGAATGTAAGCTATCTAACAGATTCTGGCATCCACACTAAACAGCATGGATGGATGAAACTTCCCTGCCGGGCTATTGTATTCTGCCAGCCGGTGTCTACCGCTGTCAGGATAGCCGAACGATGACTTCAATTGATTGACTGCAGTCACTGTTCAACTGGCAATTTTCCATCGGGCTCCCTCAACAAAAGATGGTGCTGGCAGTGTCACCCACAACTATAATTTTAGCTCGGTCTGCAGGACTTGGCCGAAAACCGAGCACTGTATGGCCAGATTTAGGAATCATCATATGATATAGTATCAGCGGAAGGCGTCAACAAGAAGAGAGTTCTATGGCCAGGTGCTTCTCAGTTCAGCTCTAATCACTTTTGAAAGCTGCTGTTCAGGTACTGGCTGGAACAAGAAAATTGACACAGAGATGGACAGAAACACTCCAGAAGCAGCCAAATGCCTTATTTGGTAACCTATTTCAGCCTTTTGCATCGGGGTGTCTTCTGACTTCCTCAGGTGTGCCTTGAAATTTTGTGATGGTAGGGGGGCTTCTGATGTAAAAGGGGAACTCTGATGTAAAAGGGGGGACTCTGATATGAAAGGGAGGTTCTGATATAAGGTGGGACTCTGATGTGATGGAGGGCTCCTGATGTGAAAGGAGGACTGCTGATGTGAAAGGAAGGGGCTCTGATTTGAAAGTGGGCTTCTGGTGTGAAAGTGGGCTCCTGATGTTTAGTGGGGCTCCTGATGTGAAGAGGGACTTCTAATGTGAAGAGGGCTCCTGATATGAAGGTGGACTCTAATGTGAAAAGGGGGACCATTATGTGAAGGGAGGGGGCTCTGATGTAATTGGGGCTCCTGCTGTGAAGGGAGGAACCCAACTTTTTTGTGTTTTTGTGTCGGCCCCCCTTAAGATCCAATACATTTTAGACTGGGGTGCCTCAATATTTTGCATACTTCTGTAGGGTGCCTTGACTAGAAAAATGCTGACCTATGTATATCCCATATGAAATTATCAGTCTGTGTTGAGCCCAGAAGGTGGAAGTCAACCAACCCCCCTGCCTCACAGGGGATGCTACAATGTATAGTCCCTGAGCACCAGGGTGGACTCAGGTCACTACAGCAGTCCTTATGGATGCTACCTTCGTGAATTGTGTCAACACGTAAAATCTGTCCTTGAGGTTGTACCGTGTCTGTGTAGCGACAGTTCTCATTTTGCGCGGCTCAGCGTTGCACATAGCATTACAAGCAGCTTGATGTGCTCTGGGGTGTTTACAACAAACATTTCTAGTGATATTGATTGCAGCCTCCTGTATGATAAGACTGTTTATTACCAGTAGCTGGAGGCGATCGATGCATTGCTCTGTCTGCGTCCAGGACTGAACACTGGCGGAGCTGAGATAACGTACGCACAAAGCATAATTTAATTCGCACGCCGTACCTACATGAAAAGGGGCGGCAAAGGAAAACATTCCATGTGTGAAATATAATTAGTCTATTAGACAGTCTCCCTGGAGTCATTGCAAGTAAATAAGGCCCCAAGTCTACCGCCAAGAGACGTCTGACAGATTTCACTGTGAGTGACATATCTTGCCTGAAAGGAGATGATACCGAGGACATCTCAGTACACAATGAAGGGGATGTATTGTGGCTGAAGCCAGTTACCCAATAAAGGGGATGTACACAATGAAGGGGATGTATTGTGGCTGAAGCCAGTTACCCAATAAAGGGGATGAACACAATGAAGGGGATGTATGGTGACTGCAGCCAGTTACCTCTTCTATCTACATTTTAGGATACCATCTAAATCCTATATGTAGCATGGTGGCTGTTTCTTTTCAAAGCTGGGGTTTGCTATTGTGTTCCATCAGGAACACTGCCTGCATATCTCTGATTCATTTGTATGGATTTAGGTGTTAGATCCTCTTTACAGTTGGCCCTGCAGTCTGGTCTGAGATGGCTTCCTATGTGGCAGAAAGCCATCTTAGCAAGATATACTTTATGGGCAAAAGTTTGTGACCATCACACCTATATGGGCTTGTTCGGCACCTCTTTCCAAACACATGTGCATTCATATGGCACAAGAGTTTGGACTTGGAGAATGTCACTGTAAATTTGTACCCATTCAGCCAAAAGGCCATTTGTATGGTCAGGTTACACAAAGTCCTAAACAGGAAGGGGTGAGTCAAATTTGGATTGGGGGGGTAGCCGAGTTTCGTCTTGCCTAGGGCAGCCCCAAACCAAAATACACCATTGCCTAAATCCATTAATTTGGAGGCGTGCTTACACATATTTGACTATAAGATGCATGCAGTTAGAGGTCCAGTGGAAGGAGCCAAGGGCAGTAATGTTACAATGAAAGCATTAGAGAAAACAGGGAGCTTGTTCTTCATGTGTCAATATACCTAATGAGCTATGTGACCATCTCCAGGAAGATTTGCTCTTGGTTTAGCCATTTGCCTTTGTGTATGGTTTCTCCCTTTGTAGATATTCTCATAGGGAGGTATGAATTTCTGTCAGGCTTCTCCTGTACATTTACAAGTGTCTTGTACTCAGATTTGGATTGTAGAAGTTGGTTTTAATTAAATCCTTTGCCAATTGGCATGACTGGGTAGTAAGGAATTTCTCCTGCTTGAGTACTTTCAATGAATGGTCCCTCCTACGTGCACCTGTCTTGCCTGAGATAAATTCATGAATTTGTAGATACGCCTCAGGTAGACAGACAAGAGATCAACCAGTTAGATGATGCTCTACTGCAGCCAGTCAATAATAAATGGGTCATTTAATCAGTTTTTTTCTTCTTCTTGCAGGTGAATGGAAAGGATCTATCTAGAGCCACTCATGACCAGGCAGTGGAAGCCTTTAAGACGGCCAAAGAACCTATCGTGGTCCAGGTTTTACGAAGAACCCCCCGCACAAAGATGTACAACCCTTCGGCGGGTGTGCAGATGATGGACATGGAAACTCAGACAGAAATCACTTTTGAGCACATCATGGCTCTGACCAAAATAAGTTCCCCATCTCCATCAGTACCTGGACTGAATCCCTATCTCCTAAATGAAGAGTAAGTACTCACCTCCTGTTGGTTGTTCTGTTGCTTTGTCCTTTATTAAACAATGTCTGTATCACCAAGTTATCCTTAAAAACAGTTATTCTGTGTTTTGCAATAGATAAAAAATTGCTGTTTACAAAAGAACTCATCCTAAAGAAAATGTGATTTGGGTGTGGCAAAATAGATGTGTATCAGAGTGGTCAATAATAATAATAATATTTAATAATAATCTCTCCACAGCACCCTGTACCGATAAGCCCCTTCTTTTCAATTCCTTGGGTGCTGGAACAGCTGGTAGTTGGCACCACAACATATGACAAGATATATTGTCCACAAACCAATCTGCTTCAGAATGTTGCTTTTAATAACGTTCTTGCAGCATGATATAATTCAATGCAACGTTTCGGAACCCCGCAGGATCCCCTCATCAGGCAAAATGTGATCTCTGTCAGAGGTAATACTTATCTGAATGTAGACGGAGAAGTCACCGGCACTCCAGTATTTGCTCTACCAATCCGTCTTTATTGACGTCGGAAGGTCATATAATCACAATGAAAAGCAACGTTTCCGAACCGAATAGGTTCCTTCATCAGGCAAACAAAGTGACTTTCCCTGATAAAAGAACCTTTTCGGTTCCGAAACGTTGCTCTTCATTGTGATAATATGACGTCAATAAAGATGGATTGGTAATATTGGAGTGCCCCTGACCTCATCTTCTACTATTGATTACGTGCCATCCACAGTCACTGCAGCACCAACCATTGGTCAGGAGTGCGATGGGACTTCTATGCTTCTGACATATCTGGACGTGTTGCACATTGTTAACATTCACTTCACTTGGAAACATGTATCTGATGCTAAGTCCCATTTAAGATCCCTTCTGTGTCGTACGTTTCAACCCCCACTCCCCTCACCCACAGCTCCTAATAGGATTCCATCAGATACCAAGTTAGGCCCCGTTCACATTGAGCGGATTTCCGCTCGTAAATCGCGCATACTGCCGCGCGATATCACGAGATTTTGCTCGTCCTAGACTTTTTAATGGCGCTTTTAAATCTTGCCTATAGCTCGTCGCTTGTGCAGGACCCTTTTTGCGCGGATGTTGCACGATTTTGCTCTTCTTTTTGCATGCAGCCCAATAGGGAAGGTCGCGCGATCGTCGCCCGAAAAGTCGCATTATAGGGATCGTGTGGAAATCCGCTCAGTGTGAATGGGGCCTAAGAGATTAGAGGTACTGAATTAGTTCTCTGCCTTGTCCCTGTGTTTTCAGAAGCTATATTTATATCCTACTAACAACCAATATATTTAGTTATTGACATATTGCTGAAGGCAATCCAGATGTTTTCTCTTTCAGACACTTGAAGATAAGTAGCCAGTTGTGCAGTAAAATGTTTCTGAATTCTCAGGTGATTGGAGACAGAAATCCCTTTCACAGCTCAGTAAATAAGCCACGTGCCCCTCCTGCCTAACTTGTCATTATCCGTGAATCACTCGGAAGTTTGAAGTCCACTGGGGACACATGGAAACATCAAGAGATAATTAATACGCCTATGTAATGAAGCATGGACGGCTAATTTGTGTCAGCAGACTTTCCTACTCCTTTTTAACAGAAGACAGTTGCAGATTTGCAGGCGTTCAGTGACATCCTCCAAGGGACAGTAGAGTACCTGTCACATACAGACAGTTCAGGAAGACATTTTGAGGTCCTGGATTCATGGTGGTTGAGAGGGCACAGGCATATCACAGGGATGCCATTGTCTCTAGTGAGTAAGCCATGTTGGTTACGTGTTTAGATGAAGCACTGAGATCTTGAGGAATGCTGAATTAGGTTTTACTTGCTTAGAAGAACGTTACCTGTATGAATATAGCATTGTGAAGAAAAACATACAAAAGGAAAAAAACTTCCTGCGTGTCATAGATAAGCATGCACATAGAGACTAGCATTACACTACAGCGCCATCTACAGGGATGCAGCGGTGACTGGTTCCACCAATGTGACCAACAACTGCTCCAGATTCTGCCTACTCCAGTTTTGATAAATTCAACGGACTAAAAAAAGAAAAACAAGAACACAAGGCCAGCTCGTCCTTCAGACACTATTGATGGCGACGGCCTGTGTTTAGTCGAGCGGCCTACTTTAATCAGCTTTTATTTAACGTTTAATTATGTCTGACAGTAATTCTTCTTGTATAGCACGCCTTCTGACTCCGCTGCGTTTTAGTCAGCAACGGTGGCAGCGTTTTCCCGCCACTCCGCTTCACGTTAATTCCTCCGAATAAACAGAGGAATGATCCTTCGAGTACGACGTTCCGGGCCAGCGACGGAGCTCGTCGGCTTTTCTGATGAGCTGAACATCCAGATGAAGCCATTAGCTTCGAACAATGCCGCTTCCCACATGCAAATGAAGACAATAATTAGAGACGTAGACGCGGCGAGCCGATGGTGTGTCAGGCAAGAACAAGTTTGAAATAAGCAGCTGAGAGAGGGAATTCCAGCACAGCGGGCTCGAGACGCGCAGCAGCTTGGCGGCCCTGGCAGGTCACAGTGGGAGTGACAGGCATTCCGGAGCCGTGCCAGCGAATGTCAAAGCTTTTCACCACCTGAACGTTGCTGCTGCCACCCAGCAGCTGCTGTGACTGGATTTGGCGGCAGATTTCAGACTACCGGAGACGGAAAGATGCCAAACCTGATTATGAGTCAACGTGTTCTGTTTCAATACACATCTAAAGTTGGCTGTACACCGGTAGATTTTAGAACCTTGAAAAAAATCTCGTCAGAACATTCGAGACTTGATGAATGTCATTTGAAATTTGGTTTGATTTCAACATTTGATTTTGGAATTAATGGAGTTTCCTGAATGAAATCCACGCCCACTGTTAGACCTTCCTTCGTCCAAGAAACATTTGTCATCCTGTGTCTTCAATTTTTTTTCATCAAGGTCAAAATTGATCGTCGAATCTGTTGACTATTAGAAAATCGAATGCTCTGGAAACTAATTTTTAGAAAAAAGGTCTACTGGTGTATGGCCAGTTTAAAGGTATCTGTAGTGATCTGTGCTCAATTTAGGGGTCTATTCACAAAGGAGCCGAAGGATCCAGTCGTAGCTTCGGCTGATCCTTCGGCTCCCTTCGGCAATTCACAATAGCCCATACAGCAGCTGAAGGCCGCCGAGCGGCTCAGCTGAGCCAAAGGCAAATGCTTTGGCTTGAATGAGCCGAAGTGTCAGCCAAGCAGGGCAAACGGCCTGCCTAATAGCTGTCACTGCTAGCTCTGCCCAATTGGTTTACTTTTTATATATATTTTTTTCTTTTTAAAAAATCTTTATTTTTTTCAATGTAATATATATTTACATTTTTTAAAATATGTGACGCCGAAACTTTGCTTTGTGATAATGTGAACATGTGTCAAAAAATACATATTTGCATCACATTTGGAAGGTCGTGATTCTTTTTTTTACCATCTTAGAGGCCATTTACATGAGCACAGAGGTCCAAACACCATAAAAATGTTTGGATCTCCACACCGCAGGAGCCGCAGGTGTTGAGTACAGTCTGCCTGTACAAATGAATGATAGGCTGTGGCTGAACGCAGGTAAACGCTGCTCTAAGCCTATACCTGTGTCAAGATGCGGATGTACACCCCTGGACACAGAGTCTGCACCCAGGGTAATAAATGTGTACCTGTATGCAAGTATACGCTCAGTGGGTAGCCACACTGCAACGGTTTCTCCTTTAAGGAGACAGGGCAAAGTGATAGTGTCTTTGCAAAGCCTCCTAATGGGCATGGTGACAGAGTCTCTTTAAAGTGGTCCTGTCTGTTTCCAAAAAATACAAAAGATGGCTGTAGTTGAAGAAATAATATACTCACCTCTCCGGTAGGGATGAGCTCAGCTTGGAATCGAACCTGAAAAAGGAAGTGCCATGGGCACTTTCAACCAATCAGCTGCATGTAAACAAAGGGGCGGGATGCTTGCAGGAACATACTTTACTTTATATGGCCATATTAGGTAAATGTCATTTTCAAAATATAGGCATATATCGGAATAAATGTCAGTTAAAGTACCGCAGCGCTGAATACTGAAAAATGGCCTGGATGGGAAGGGGGTTTAACACCGCGGATGTCAACTGGTTAAGTAAATGATGTCAATGCACCCCACCCCTTGGCTTACCTCCGTTATGGGGAATGCCCCATCTGCAGCTGATTAGTCGGCACGGAAGGAGCTTTCTCTCCGTTTGCCAGAGAGTAGTGACGAAAGCTGTGCGAACCTGTGCTCACCCCCACTCTACAGCAAGCCACGTCTCTTACCTTCTCTCCGTTCCATTGTTGAAGACTCTTTGATGTTTAAAAGCAGAAATGTGGATACAAATTGTATTAACCCTCACAGTGGGGCTACCCCCGCACTGCAAGGGTTAAGTGCCTGTTTTTGTCTAGGGTGAAAAATAAGCCTCACTGCACTGGTAAATACAATTTTTACCCATAGTTGTTCTTTATTACTTCAGATGTCAAATGCCTGCCCCCTTCATGCTGTGATTTCTTTCCCCATTGCCTACATCACTAAAGGGCTACAGTGGCGGTCAGCTGCCTATTTATAAAATGACAGGTTCACTTTAAGCTGCCTGAAGCGAATTTGTTCTTACTTTACTCTGAATTTACCTTTCACAGTGACTTCTTGGTAAACTTATCCTCGGCATAAATTAGAACTACCGTGCAATTAAATACGACACAAATAATTGCTTTTGGCTCAGCGCTTTTTGTTTTTCTGTCATTTTCTCCGGCATTCTGCGTAAACAGAAGCAGCGCTCCTTACACCCCTTCCTGTTGTACTAATGAAATATTTGCATTTCAAAGGCATCGGGACAAATTGCATCAAAGGATCCTTCTTATCTTTTCATCGGACTATTTAGCATGTTTTAATTATGAATAATACGGGTCGGGGGGTCCTGCACTTTTGACAAGAGACCTTTATGCAAATGGAAATAACGGAATAATTGCTCGTTAGGTAGAGAAGGGGGCGTGCTCTGAAGTCTTTGCCATTTTTGTTTTTTGTTTTTATAGGCACTCGCCACTTCACGAATACTTTGACCCCAACGACTTCATGGGAGGATTGCACCAAGACATCGACAGAGACGAACTAGAGTTGGAGGTACGTTCTTTCATGTCGGGGATAATTAAGCGTTTTGGGTGGCATTCTGATAAATAAATAATTCGTGAAGGAAGATTTCAGGGACAGAGGCTAGTGATTTGTTTTTCAGGGCGTGTTGCTTGGCTTACTTTTTAAATAGCACAAAAACATTTACATCTCTCCGTGTGAAATGAAGAGGCATGTGCAGGGCCGGATTTACTCTTTCTGCTGCCCCAAGGCCAGGTTCCTCAATGTGCCCCCCCATCCCCCCTCCCCCACCCTTCTTTGGAGAATGGCAGAACTGCAGGCTGCATACAAGTGATCTCAGCCACATCGCTGGGATCACTAGTACAAAACAAGCGGTGGCTTCCCCGCTGTACATTTAGCTCTGCTTGCCCATAGCAGGGCTAAATGTAGAAGACAACTACCCGCCGGCGCCGGAACTGCATGTCCCAGGCATCGGGAGATAGGAATTCCACACCCCTGCTTCCCCTCTACTCCCTGCTGCCCCAAGCCGGGCCTTGGTTGGCTTTGTGGGAAATCCGGCCCTGGGCATGCGTATGGAGCGTAGAAGAAGGAAGCATACGCAGACACTGGTTAAAGCAGTGGTGGCTGGATATGTTTTTTGCTTTCCACAATCATGTGACCAGATGTAGACTTTTTTTTTTTAATGTGACCAGCACTAAAAGGGGCCCGGAGCAGTGTTTTCTTCAGCAAAGGTATATCAGCCCTTCTGTTGTTCTTTATCCATCCCAGTAACACAGCTTTTAAAAGCCAATTCCAGTTTTGGATTGAGCAGGAGTGCTCAATCCCTATTGTGGAGATTTTTCCTAACTTCCTGTACAGGCAGGAAGTGAAATCTTTCCAACAAGTTTTTAGTAAAGTGCGGAAGGTTAGGTTTTTTTGAGCTGTCTGAACCTACCGGTTTCAATGATCTGCCCCCCAATTTCCTGGTAGGACTGGAAGTAAAGGAGTCACAGGCATTTGAAAACCTGAAACATGTTAACTTTTACGTATGCAACACATGGCTTTAAATTGAACCTATATTTGTCCTATTCACGGGAAAGTTACATGCAGGTTCAGTTACTACCATCCCCCCCACCAAGGTATTCTTGCCTTATGTTCCCTTCTGTATTTCCGGGTATAGGGGAGTATAGGGGGACACTCCCTCCTTTCCGCCATGATGCAACTTTGGGTGCCTCAGTGGCCAATTGCCAAGCTGCTGTCACTACTGCCAGAACAAGGATAAACTTATACTTATAAATAAGCCAAAAAGACTGGAGCTTACACAGGGTTTTTTTTTAGCTTGGTCCCAGTGGAGAAAAGGGAAAGTCAACAAAAGCCAAGGGGGGCTCTATACAAAATGTATCTAAACCCTAAAAGTGAATTTCTCTAATTTGTTCCCATTCGGTCTGTCAAATATACAGTTAGATACGTTTTCTTATACTTGTTCGATAAATGCAAAAAAATACCTGATTATCCTGCGCTGCCCTATGCATTCTACAATGCCATCTCAGGCACTGCTCTCAGCCTGCCTAGCTTGCCTCTGTATACTACAGAACATCCCTCACCTTTTGGAGAAGAGGAGAGGGGCAGGTTTTTAGTCGTCCTGTGCTAGATTGACAATGCTGCTCCTTATAGATGCAATACGGTGCCGGTATGAGCGATGGAGTGTTGTCACTCTAGGAAAGGATGTGTGTTACTGGCAGCATTAGCAAGTGAAAATAAAGGAAAAGATATGTAGAAAAAGAAAACGAATGCAGCCACCACATTGAAGGCCAGGTGCGCTAAATTATATTTTTGTTGGGTTTAGATACACTTTAAGTTGACATTTGCGTACAGGTCCTCTTTAAAGCAATGCAAAGATGGCACATGAAATGCTGAAGGCTGTTATATTTCAAAGAACTGTCAGATCGGTTAAAAGAATTGCATTTGTCATTGTGGCTTGCTGTTGTTCGTTTGCCTTACTGAATGTTCCTCCGAGCCTGTTCATGCTATCGCTTTGCAATAATGCGCACATTACATGCGTTGGTGCGATGCGGTGTCAGTTTGTTTTTTGAATGGCACGCCAACACACCTTGCTGATGGACGTGTGTTGCAGAGCAACCTTCAGCAACGCCCTAACATGCGGTGCCCTGCCAGAAGTGGTGCACGCACCATGATTGGTGTGTTGGCAGCCCATTCATTTTGAATAGGCTGCCCTAACAGAGCACACATTGATGCGACATAACACAGTGTGAATGGGCAATACGATCCCCTTTTAGACCAGTGAAGAAAAGCGTAGACATGAAGAAATATTCCATCAAAGCGTACTTTTCTAAAGAAAGGAAAACTTTTGTCAAGTCATCTTACAGCCGTACCAATCAGCCAGGAATGTCAGCGGCGTTCACCTTGTTCTGCTGTGCAAGCAGTGATCACTGACACGACAGTAAGGGGAGATTAGCAATTTAGTCAGCTGTCAAACATTGTTTTCATAAATTATTCACTGCAGTGTGTTTTACTTCTGTCAGGCGGCGTGTCGCTTTGTACGCCGCACAATGACATCTTAAATACGGTGATGACAGCTTCCATTCAAAGACAACCACGATCATAAATGGACTACAAGTCCCAGTACACAAGAATGCTTAGATTTGTAGTTCCTCACCATCTGGTTCATTGCAGGGGCATGAGTCTATTTTATTGATCAGTATACAATTAAAGAATACAAAAGAATTGAGCATGTTTAAAGAAACACTCCATTGCATACAGGGTACACAGCCTTCCTGCTTCAGGTGCTCTCATTTAAAAGGGTATGAGGACAGAAATGCACCTTTCCGCTCCTGTACCACTGGCAAAACTACCAGGGTTGCAGCGGTCGCATGTGCAACCAGGCCTTAGCGTTTCACCACATGGGGGGACCCGTAAAGGAAGAAGAAGGCCTGGTCCCAGTAAGCACTGAGGCACCAACTCTTAAAAACGATCACACAGGGACTCGTATACACACATACACATGCACAATCACATACATACACACAATAGGTTGAACTTGATGGACCTGTGTGTTTCTGAAGCTGCCCGAAGGATCGGCCGAAGCTACGGCCAGATCCCTCGGCAGCTTCGTGAATAGACCCCTATGGAACTATGTAACCAACATTGCCTACTGACACTATACACATACACTACTCCGGTAACCGCTGAGGCACCAACATTGCTTTCTGGGACAGCACACATGCGCTATCCCGGAAACGGCCGAGGCACCAACATTGCCTACTGGGACTACACGCATGCACTATCCCAGTAACGGCCAAGGCACCAAAGTTGCCTACTGGGACTACACATATGCGCTACCCTGGTAACCGCTGAGGCACCAACATTTTTTGATGGTGGGGGGGGCCTTCATGGTTTCTTGCACCAGGGCCCTGAGGTTTCTAGTTATGCCTCTGTCCTGTACTACAAGTTGCGTGCAATAAATGCTTTGAAATCGCCTGGCTACATACACTCGTGCTTAGGTGTACATGGAGCCTGACAGCACTTTTTAAACATGTACATATAAAAGCTTAAAGGTTTCGTAGACCCCCACAATGATCCTCTCTTATTCACTCCCTTTTTGTCTGCTAAATATGTCACTGAAAGTGTTTTATGATATCTGTTTTATATGAACAAAAAAATACCTGGTGATCCTGACAGAAATCTTTTCAGCTGATAGCTTCCTGTGTTCTCTGCCTCTGCTGCACTGTTATCAGTTACATTGTTCCCAGATAACTCTGAGGACTACAGAATCATGCTGCTGGGCTGTATGTTATGGAGGAGGTTTCTGTCGTCCTGCCCCATTTCTGTTGTGCTGATACAATACAGTGAGTGTTGTCACCCAGGGACAGGAAGTGTGTCACTGACAGGATCACCAGGTGAAAATAAAGGGAAACAAATATGAAAAAGATTGAAATAATGCAGCGAAAGAGATTGGTAAGCTGCAACATACTATATGACATTTTTGTCTTTGGGTTCAGTTACGCTTTTATTAAGGTGAAGCCCATATGCACAAGGCTTTCTTTTTACAGCAACCTTTGTTAGAATTTAGTCATTCTCTTTATTTCTCTTTCGGCATTCTCCGAGCATTTATATTTCATTGCCGAACTTCATATTTTCCAATATAGCATACGACTACAAAGAACAGGAATGTATTATTGCATCACAGGCTACAATCCATTGTTACTTTTTTTCCTTTAGATCTTTTCATTGTATTTGTAAAAAATATCATATTTGAGTTTGAACTTGTAGCAATGAAAATGATCTTCGTTTGTTTCAGACAAGCGCAGATCCTGGAATTTTCATTGCGTTTGATAGATCGACTCCCTGTCTTTGCTTATAACATAGAAGCTGACATTTGCTCATCCTGCTGTCAGGGTATTACGTTCCTCTCTCAGCCCCTCTCGCTTTAGTACGTTGCTCCTAAAAAAATGATAAAATTGACAGAAGCGCAGTTTCTTTGACCGCTAGCGCAGCTGTCTCATTTTAATGTTTCTCCCATTAGCGAGCTAAGATCACAGTGCCTTATGTCTTGGCGCTGGAGGAAGGGTTGACATCTGGCCCAGCGAAAGGATTGTGTCAATGCCACTGCCTTAATTGGCTGACTGCAACTCTTAAATACATGGCCTCTTAATCCCGGGGGACAGGGGACATAACTTGTTTAATGCGATTACTGCTCGCTGTTTAGCCGTGTTGTGGTCAAGTCAGTTCTCACAATTGTCAATTTTGCCAATTCTTCAGTGAAATGAAGAGCTTACAGTTACTCCACGCTGCGCTTTTCCACTTACTCTGTTTCACTTTAACGCTATCATTAAAGTGTATGTCCAGCCATATTTTTTGTTTTTTTTTAGAATTGGAACATCTGCAATGTAGGTTTGCCCACCTACATTCCTATTGACCTATCACTATGGTGGGCTCACTCACTGGCTAATAGGAATGTATAGGGGGCAGGCAAGCTTCAACATTACAAGACTTTGCCCATCACTTGTTATTCACATGTACCAGCAGGGCTTGGGTCTCCAGGAACATCAAAGGACAGCCTTGAAATCCTGTCTTCATCATAATGGTTCTTTTCCAATAAGCCAGTGCTGGCTTCCTTTCTATTTTCTCCTTTGCCCCTTCTGCTTTTTCAACTTGCTGCATTCCACCTTCTGCTTCTTGCCCCTTGCTCCATCCTCTTCTGTGTCTTACTCCCTCTTCCACCCTATTCTGCTTCTTCCTGCTGTTCTCCTTGCTCTCTGTTCCATTCCCTTCTGCTTTTTGCTTTCTACTTCATCCATTCCTGCTTCTTGCACTCTGTTCTATCCTCTTCTGCTTCTTCTCCTGTTCCATCCTCTTCTGCTTCTTGTCTCTTGTCCCTTTCTCTTCTGCTTTTTGTACCTTCTCCATCCTCTCCTGCTTCTTGCTCCCTGCTTATTGCACCCTGCTCCATCCTCTCCTGCTTATTGCACCCTGCTCCATCCTCTCCTGCTTCTTGCACCCTGCTCCATCCTCTCCTGCTTCTTGCTCCCTGCTTATTGCACCCTGCTCCATCCTCTCCTGCTTCTTGCACCCTGCTCCATCCTCTCCTGCTTCTTGCACCCTGCTCCATCCTCTTCTGCTTCTTGCACCCTGCTTATTGCACCCTGCTCCATCCTCTCCTGCTTCTTGCTCCCTGCTCCATCCGCTCCTGCTTCTTGCTCCCTTCTCCATCCTCTTCAGCTTCTTGCTTCCTGTCCTTTTCTCTTATGCTTTTTGCACCTTCTCCATCCTCTTCTGCTTCTTGCTCCCTGCTCTGTCCTCCCCTGCTCTTTGCTCCCTGTTCTATCCCCTTCTTTTTTTTCCACTTCACCCTGTTCATCCCCCATTAAAACTGCTTGTTAGTTTGGTCAAGTTAAGCTTTAGGATACAGTAACAGAGCACTGTGCAGTGCTTTGGTGAGAGCTTACCCTAAGGGTCATGTGATCATCCATATATAATTGACCTCCTTCTATGGTCAGTTGAGCAAGGTACCCATTTGTAGTTGATTAATAGTTCTGCTGTACGGGGTCTGCCTGTTGCAGTTCTGCAGTTTTGTAAAAAGTTAATTTGGGGGTTAGTTAAAGTTATTGTCCCCACCCCCTCCTGCAGTTTTCTGTAGTGGGTGGAGCCTGTTGGGTCCCTCCCACAGTTTTGCTCTCTATGCGCAGCACAGTTACAATGTCACAGGCATTTTGTGCACACAAATTGGATTCATAGCCTTTGTGCCTATTGAGGAACAGATTTAAATGAAGTTTTTTTTGTGGCAGGAGTTCAGCTTTAAATAAAAAGCTGAAAGTTGTTGTTGGTTTTTTTTTTTCATTTTTAGATCGAAATGGGATATTTGAAATGGATGTGACCCTTCCAGTACTACTCATTAGTAACAGCCCACAATTCAATATTAAATGTATTTTCCTAGCTCTCCATTACAGTTAGTAATTGTGTCATGTTCTAAGCGGGTGACATATGATATCAGGGGGTGTTCAAACATTTGTGTTTTCACAGCCCTGACATCATCAGACATTTCCTGCAAAATGAAAGAAAAAAAATCAATACCATTTCTTTTTCCCTTTTTTCTAAAATGGCTTATAATTGATAAATAGGCCCAGGCCGCATGTTATTGATCGCGTTGTTGTACAATCACTCTGGGTGAGTTAAGAGGGGCCCCTTTCCAGGGAGGTGGGAGACATTACAGATAGGAAATGTATTTGTGGGATTGAAGGAAATCTCCTTTCCATCACTGTTGTCACTCACAAGGGCCATCTTGTATCTCTCCGTTCAGGAAATAGACTTGTACAGAATGAACAGCCAGGATAAGCTGGGGCTGACGGTTTGCTACAGGACCGATGATGAAGACGACATGGGGATTTACATCAGCGAGGTGAGATTTCTTGACTTTATTGAAGTGATTTCTTGACTTTACCTTTTGTATAGAACCAATGGGCTCTTGGTTTCTGAGATTAAAGTAGAACTATGAGGTGAGTTTTTCACTCACCTCCTAGTTCTAGCCGACCTGTGACAATGAGACTGTCACAGGTCGGCTCAGTAGATCGGGAAGTGAGCGAACACATACCGGCGTTCGCTCACTTCTCGATCCTGTCACGGCTCTCTGCCGTGACAGGGGAGGGACTGGATTCCCACCTCCGTGCTCCGATCCGCCAGCGCTGACTAGCGGAACAGACAGGGCGGGTACAGCTGGCTCTGCCTCTAGATAGGCAGAGCCAGCTGTCACTCACGCAGCTGGGCAGATCCAGACATTGTCGGGATCCACTTTAGCTGCGGCGTCTCAGTATACCGCCAGCTGTAGCTCGCGGTATACTGAGCTTAGGGTGACGGGAGGAGGCTAGTTTGTGTCCTCCCGTTACCCTAAGGAGAACTATGGGGAAAAGCCCTAACCCCATAGTTCTCCTTTAAAGATAAGGGTACCAACTTCTGCAGCATCCAGGTTTTAATGTTATCACTCACTGCTTTCCTTTGGTTCCTGCTCCCTAATAGGAGGCTTATCTTGAGCCTAGGCCATTCTGAGACCTATTTCTGGATGGCTGCATTGTAATAATGTATACAGTATGTGCGGTTTCTGTACCCAGGGCCGGAATTACTCTCTCTGCTGCCCCAAGGCCTGGTTCCTCAATGCGCCCCCTCCCAGAAAAACACACACACACACACCCCCCCCTAATTGAGAATGGCAACCAGATGGTGGGGCGGCAGGGTTGGTTTTAATTTTGTTATCACTTTTTTATTTTTTTTAATTATTTTTTTACTTTTTTACATTTTTTAAATCTTATTTCTATATCTCTGTGACAGTGCTGGGATCACTTGTACAAAACAAGTGGCAGCTTCCCCGCTGTACACTTAGCTCTGCTTGGCTAAAGCAGGGCTAAATGTAGAAAAAACTACTCACCTGGTGTCCAGAACTGCATGTCCCGGGTATCGGGAGATAGGAATTCCGCACCGCTGCCTCCCCTCAACTCCCTGCTGCCCCGAGCCGTGCCTCAGTGGTCTTGTGGGAAATCCGGCCCAGTCTGTACTATCTCTTGCAGTGGCATTAAAATAACCATAGCAGCCAAGGTGGTAAAATGGGGAAAATGAAGTGGAATGGCCTGGGTTGTATGAAAGGCTTCAGATAATGATAACAAATGTGTCCCTGGTTTTCAGTTCCTCTCATTTTCCTACAGCTTGATTTATCACAAAGTGTATACATCACAGTTTGAAAATTAATATTGAATCCAGTAGCCAGTCTGTCCAATCCAGGAGCCAGCTCCATTAACACCAACTAGAGAAAACCTCAAAAGTTGGGCGACAGCTAAAATTTGAAAGGAGCATTGGCTGCAGAAATCTTTTTAAGCTCATATAATTTCCACTTGCTTTTCAGATTGACCCCAACAGCATTGCCGCCAAGGACGGGCGAATCAGAGAGGGAGATCGGATAATACAGGTAAGAATGAAAGAAAAGCTTTCACAGTGTGTATTGGAAACTGCAGCAATATAAATAGAGCCAACCTCATTTCCTTGTTGATGGAAGTCCTGCATCATCTAGTTCTTTCCTTCCCAGCCTTACTGTACCTGCCCCGCCCCTTTAATTAATTGCATTTCAGCTCTTTCAAGCAAGGAGGCTCCTCGTCACATACGGGAGGTGATCTGCATGCAAATGCAGTCTGGCTTGGAATGCCCACTCCTCCACACTGACATCCCTTTTGATATTTGTATAACTCCTCCCAAGAGCCAGCCCACTGCTTGAATCAGGGCTGAGGACTCTTGAGTGGATTACTGAGCCCGGGTGCTGTAATGTTTGTAGGAAGCAATGCACATCACCCTGCCGATCCCTCCCTGCTACGATCTTCCCGACATTGCATAGAGAATCAAAGAGGCTTAGTGATGATATTACTGAGCCTAAATTATTTCATTGGCATGTTGATGAGTGGAGGAGGAACCAGAGAAGGCAAAATATAAACAGATAAAACTGCCAATTTAAGGAAAGTATTTTAAAGAAATGTTAGCTTTTTGGGCTGGACAGGTCCCCTGACATATACAATCCATCAGATTTTATTTCCATTTTTTCAAAAATTAGGCTAATGAGCCATCATGGCTACGCTTGTTTTATTCCCCATAATCCTCTGTGTTGAAAAAATGGGCATAATAGCCCTAAAGTGGCAGTACCATGTGATACTCCATTTTCATATTTCCCGGTATAGGGCTGGCATTTTCCCGCCCTCTTCTGCTATTGGCCTAATCGCCGATGATGTCAATATGTTGACGTTTATTCAGTAGTATGGTTATTCAAGTAGAGACTTCCAACTTGCCTTTGATGGAATATTGTGCTCACCTCCCCAAGAATATTCATGACACTTAAAGCGGACCTTTACACTCAAAAATCTAATCCTACCAAAGCATCCCTCTATGTATGATGATTAATTATAACATAGACATGTCCGGTGTAAAATGCTGTGGTTGTAAAATACTTACACTCGCAGAGCATTCACTTCCTGCTTTGAAAGTGCAAATTACTTTAGTTTGCCAAAGCGATGCACACTGGGATTGCCTTGTGATCACTCAGCATTGCTGGGGCATCTCATCTCAGTGAAAGGCATTGTCCTCCCCTGAGATGATGTGCATGGTCACATGTGCCAGATTTCCAGGAAGTAAAAGGAGAGCTAGTAACCTGCCCTTAGTAAACATGGCCACTGTCAGAAGACTGGGGAAGAACAGAGAAATAAGAAATGCAAAGAATACAAAGCTGGCAATTATCTAGAAATATGTGTTTGTAGATTGTCATTGCTAAACATTTCTAAAGGTGTGTTTGTTGTTATTTTAAAGATACGGGTAAAGCTCCACTTTAAGGATATCATTTACATCGAGACACATTTATTTGTTTTTTAGATTAATGGCATCGACGTTCACAACCACGAAGAAGCTGTGGCTCTGCTCACGAGCGAAGACGCAACAAATGTTTTCTTACTGGTAGCAAGGCCGGAATTGCAGGTATTGTACCATGTTCACTGCATGTGATCATCTCTGGGACCAATTAGAACTCCACTTAAAGTGACACTAAACTCAGGAGTTAAATCTTAAAAATGCATTCAAGTACCGTAATAACTATTAACAGAAATGTATCTTATTTGTGTATCACTCGGCTGTAGATCCTCAAATCATCTCTGAATTGGCGCTGACACTGTCCTTCCTTATGGAGGGGGGCTACTTTTGTTACCCGTGGTCCCTAGGTGTGTTGCAAAGTAGTCACCGCTCCAAGCTCGCTCCTGTGATGGACTACAATCTCGCGTATAGTTTACTAATTTGTATTGAGATTGTAGTCCATCACAGGAGTGAGCTTTGAGCGGGGACTACTTTAAAACACATACAGGGATCATGGGAAAATTTTGGTCATTTTCCATTGAACTAAAAAACCTTTTCACTTTTATATACATGTCAATTTTCTGTACCAGGACACACAAATGTGCCCATTCCTTGCGCCTTTCTAGGTGTCTGTTGCAAGCAAACTGTTATTTGTTTGTTTAGCTGTATTCTGTACAAAAAGCCATTGACAGGACCAGTGAGCTCCGTCTTAGTGCTAGTTCTTCTGCATTTGAGTTATTCCTACAATCAGTCCGTATCAGTCCTTAGCAGACAAAATATGAATCACCTATATTATAGATATCTGTAGGACGGTTCTGGAGGGAGGAAGGACAGACAGGAAAAGGGGTCAAGGGAGGGAAGGTTATCGGTATTGTTTCTTCGACAGATCTGTGATATCATCCTTTTTTCTTTTCCCCTGGCGCACAGCTGGATGAAGGATGGATGGACGATGACAGAAATGATTTTCTGGATGATCTGCACATGGATATGCTGGAGGAACAGCACCACCAGGCAATGCAATTTACAGCCAGCATGCTTGAGCAGGTAATGCGATTCCGCACCGTACTCTGTCACCGGCTCTTGTCATATCTTATAGCGCCATTCCCGCCTCCCATTAAACGGATTAAACTAACCAGCCAGTTTAATGAATATATGAGGTTAGGACTAGCAGGGGCTATTTGTCAGAGCATCACATTAAAGGCTTACAGGGGGAGAGGAACGATATATTTTCCCATGAAGATATTTCATTGTTTTAGCTCGATGCTTTTAAGATAACCGGACTGACAGCTGGTGACGAGACTCGTTTGTTATGTTCAATGGTGAGCCGGGGAGGACAGTGATCCTAATGAATACTGTCTAGGTTTTATTGCTGAGGATTCATGTAAAATCAAGATTGATTCATAGACAATATTATTGTAGTGTTCAGGTGATGGGCTTTTTTTTTTTCTTTTTTTTGTTTTGGTTAGGGTATAGAAGGGTTAAAACTAGGGATGCACCGATACCGGTTTTTCAGTATCGAGTACGAGCACCGACATTTATATCTCGGTACTCGATGATACCGAGTACCGATATCGGTACTTCTGGGAGCATTGAGACGGCTTCCTGGGCAATCATAGTCATAGTCCGCTGCCCGGCTTCTTGTTTGCTTGGGAAGCCAGCTCCATGCTATTTGGCTGGCTCAATGCTGATTGGCTGGGAAGCCGGCATCCCAGCCAATCAGCATGGAGCTGGCTTCCTGACCAATCAGCATCGAGCCAGCCAAACAGCATGGAGCCGGCTTCCCAGCAAATCAGGAAGCTGGGCCACAAGTCTTTACCCGCTGCCCGGCTTCCTTATTGGCCGGGAAGCCTGCTCCATGTTCCCTCGTGGCACTGCTGGTCAGAGGAAATCTCCCTCTGTCCAGAATTTCCGGTATCGGGATAAGTATCGGAGCATTTGGGTGGATAGGAGTACTCGCCCAAATACTCTGTATCAGCACCGATACTAGTATCGTTATCGGTGCATCCCTAGTTAAAACCCATCAGTTTATTTTCTGTTGGAAAGATTTCACTTTACTTCCTGTCCTGTAGATGCTACAGGAAGTGAGAGGAAATCTGTACAAAGTAAGGGAAATCTGTGTATTGCTTTTCAGAGGCGGTTGAGTGGTGGTTTGCAGGCACTCAAAAGGCAATACTGCTGGAGGGGCATTTTCTGTTGAAATACCTTTGACTTCAATGGTGACCGTTGAAATCAAAAGTATTTCAATATAAAATGCCCCTCCAGCAGTTTGCCTTTTGCACAGTACCGCCTGCCAATTGTGATATGCCAAGCTAAAAAATCGCTGCACTGCGAAACACAGCATCACACCTGCAGCAATGTGTAGGAACCCTTCTGGCCGCCATGTTAATGTGTCGCCAAAATTTTATTTAAAAAATTGCAGTTTATGATACAAAGCTATTGTAAACTAAATGTCATTCAGTGAAGATTTACATGTACAAGTAGAACCCGGAGGTAACGTAGACTTTGTACACACTGATATTGTTTATATAATGCCCATGATTGAGTTCCACTTGCTTTTTAAGTCAACTTCCCTTCTATATTTTGTCCTTATTAAAATATTTGCTTTGGCATGTCTGAATTTTTAGAAGAAGATCGAAGAAGACGGTGGAACCACAGATACAGCAACCATTTTATCCAACCAGTTGGAGAAAGACAGTGGCGTTGGCCGTACGGATGAAAGCACCCGGAATGATGAAAGCTCAGAGCAGGAGAACATCGCTGACGATCACACCATGTTATCAAACACGCTGGAGAGACAGAAAAAGCTCATGTACAGTCAGGACACTCTGGGCAGTGGAGACATGCAGTTCAGCAACGAGTCCTTCATATCTGCCGACTGTACGGATGCAGATTTCCTGGGCATCCCCATGGACGAGTGCGAGAGATTCCGAAAACTTCTCGAACTGAAGTGCCAGGTCCAAAGTGCCAACCAGCGCAGTCGATATTACCAAACCAGCACAATGGAGACCAACCGCAGCGACCAGGAGGGTGTGGACCGTGAACTGGAAATGCTGAATGAGGAGTTGCAGAACATCGAGCTTGAGTGTTTGAATATAGTCCGTGCTCATAACATGCAACAGCTAAAGGAGCAGTACAGAGAATCCTGGATGCTGCACAACAGCGGTTTCCGTAATTACAACACTAGCATCGATGTGCGTCGACATGAGCTCTCTGACATCACCGAGTTGCCTGAGAAGTCAGACAAGGACAGCTCAAGTGCCTACAATACTGGGGAAAGCTGCCGTAGCACTCCTTTAACTTTGGAAATTTCCCCAGACAACTCTTTGCGCAGGACAGCCGATGCCCTCAACAGCTGTCCAGAGGGAGCAGCCAGTAGCGGTCCCTACAATGCTTCGCAAAAGAACGTACGATCGAGTGGAGAAAGCCGTGAGTCCAGCCCCGCCAGATATCTCCAAACTGCTAAGGACTCGGACACAAACAAGGCATCGGAAGTCAGAGACAAAAAGGTCGCCGAACTGGGCAAAAGTCAAACCTCTTCCGAAAAGCAGTCCAGTTCTTTTGCGCCACCCTATCGCCACTCACCTTACAAGCACGCCCACATCCCCGCCCACGCGCAGCACTATCAGAGTTACATGCAGCTGATCCAGCAAAAATCAGCAGTCGAGTATGCTCAAAGCCAGATGAGCTTGGTCAGCATGTGTAAAGATCTTCAGAACACATCTGAGCCAACGATGGAATGGAAAGTGAAAGTACGTAGTGACGGAACCCGCTACATCACCAAAAGACCGGTGCGAGATAAGTTATTAAGAGAAAGAGCCATTAAGATCAAAGAAGAGAGGAGCGGAATGACAACAGATGATGATGCCATTAGCGAGATGAAAATGGGACGTTATTGGAGCAAGGAAGAACGGAAGCAGCACATTAGGAAGGCCTCGGAACAGAGAAAACGTAGAGAGTTCATGATGCAAAGCAGGTTGGATTGCTTGAAAGAGAAACAGACTGCAGAGGACAACAAGGAGGTCAGCATCATTGACCTCAGCCACAAAAAGATGATGAAGAAACGCAATAAAAAGATTTTTGACAACTGGATGACAATTCAAGAACTGTTAACCCACGGCAGAAAATCTCCCGATGGAACTCGAGTGTACAACTCGCTACTCTCCGTCACAACTGTATAAAACAAAGAACTCCTCCGAACTTTTCTTCTCTTCTTTTGTAAATACCAAACTACCCTTGCGGTAGAATTCCCCCGCCTCGTTAAATGTGGCAAATATTTTTTTTCTTTTTGTAAATATAAGATAATTACGGTCACTGTGTTAATAGTTTTGGCTTTTTTACGTACCTAACTTTACAACTCGGTATCTAACGTTGCCTGAATCCCACAAGATCAAGCTGTTTGCCCAAGAAAGAGAGGGCAGCCCTTACACTTATATGTCCAAAGTGAATAGGATCTTGGGGTTTTGTGCCTGGGCAGTCCTTGGTCAATGGAAGTGGTCATACAACAGCCACATACAGTACACTAACGTGCAGTCATCAGGTGAAAGGAAAGGAATGTGAGCTCTCCACTCCATCAGGAGGGACAGTGCCTGTGTTCAAAACACTGATCTATAACACAGCAGTCACAATTAGAATGTTGAAGGTTTTACGAGAGCCAATGCATTTTTGGGATATGGTTCCACTTCATCAGGGCTGTGAGTAAAAGGAACTTGGAGTTGTAGCAAGGGATAGCACTGAAATGGCAAATAAGGAACATGAAAATGCTATGCAGGGTAGTATGAGGCTTCCAACTGGACAGGACAGCAATTAGAGCTATCAGTGAGCCCCGATAAAGAGGAAGCAGATACCAAAAATCCATTGGCTGTCCTGGTACCTTCAGTAAACATTCCAACTGAAAAAATATTGCAGTGATATAGAAGAACCTCATTTCTCCTACATATGTGGTCATCATACAACCTTGTTTTACATTCTATTGCTCGGTGATCAAAATGGATATTGATTGGCTGTAGAAGTTTTTTTAACTGTATTCATTAACTGTGATTAGGCCAAAGCTGCCAAAAACTGGCCAAAGTCTAGGCAAATACAAGCTTACTGAAAGGGCAGCTCCAGCTAGACAACTAAACACAGTTTAAAATACACACAGAAGGATTGTAAAGTGCTGTTGTCCTTTGTTTCAAGACACACATGGGCTGCCATTGCAAATATACGCTAGTTTACTGACCCAAAAGTAGCATGCAGGTCAGGAGTGCAGACTGTCCTTTCTTCTTACAGGTCCCAGAGGATGAGCAGGAAAGCCAAGGGACCTGGCAACCTTTGAGAGGAAAATTATAACTCACAGCCCCCTAGTTCAGGTTTTTTTTCATTCCTGCTCCTGTAAGCCCACCCGTTTACCTTCCCCTTCCTCCTATCCACTTAGAGGGCAGGCACTCCTGCTGCAAGCCTGGTTTAAGCACTGAGCTGGCACATGGCAGTTGATTACAATGACAGTATTAAGATTAAAATGGTTTCATGATTTAGAAAGGAACATGTAAGTGAATTAAAGGGTGTGTTATGTTTACTGGAGCTGTTCTTCAGTAAGAGGATGCAGACAGCAGTGAGGTACAAAGTGCACTAGCCCTAAGCAACCAATGAGATTTCACTTTGTAGAAGATAGATCACTAAAAGTGGAATTCTAATTGGTTGAGTTGAGTTAGCATGCAAGAACATTGCTCTTTGCTTATTAACTAGCTTCATTTCTTTCTCATCCATTGTGGGACACAGGAAGTCTTTCACATTGGGTTTATTATGCTTCCTAGAGGAGGATTGAGCACTGGCAAACAAAAAAATGTAGGCCAGCCCAAGATAACCCCCCTACTACCAGCATTTCTGCTAGCGTCCTATGAAGATGGACGTGTTTACTTCTGCTCTTCTGAACCTGTTTTTGCTAGTACCTTTTTTCCTATTTTTCAAGATTTTTCTTCTTCTATCAATACTCTTCTCTACATTACTGCTAGCACTTGTCTGTTGGTGCAGGCATCCTCAGCCTGGCTTTTGAAGTGATGCACCTGAACCCCGCTTGACTGGACATTGCGGGAATAGCCTGGAATTGACCTTCGGGCACTGGGTTCCCAGTGGGGCACGTTCCAGACTATGTTTTGGTAAGACATTGCTGGGGAGAAGGAGATCATAACTCACAGCCCTCTAGCTCAGGTTTTCTTTCATTCTTGCTCCTGTAAGCCCACCCGTTTACCTTCCCCTTCCTGGCATACAGTTAGAGGGCAGGCACTCCCACTCCAAGCCTGCTTTACAGGCCCAGGGTCACTGGCAGCACATGCCCTGTCTCTGAAGATTCACTTTGTGAGTAAAAGGGTCCATCCAGACACACTAAATCCATGACATAGGTTGGCTTTAAAATTCCCTATTTCCTGGTGGTTTTGCTGCATAAGGGTTACCCGTTTCTGCTACCAACCTACAGTGACTATGATCCCCTAAGGCCATCTGAGCTCTATGTTGCCTTACCTCCATGAGGTTGCAACATGTCTGATTCTCGACATGGGGGAGCAGTTCCAATGTAACCGGTGCTTTCTCTCAGCTCACATTCTACTAATGGCCCCCAAAGTCTTTTACATCATCATCATCATCACTCACTCCTGTTCCTTCTCCCGCAGATTCTGTATCCGATTTCCCCATGGCCTTGGCAAGTTCTGAGCCATCAGCCACTGATTCTGAGCCACTCCAGTCTATGACTAATGAGCTTGCCCCTGAGGAGTCGCGGTCCAATGCTATTGCTCCCAAATGAAAAGAGCTTATTTCAGTTCTTATAAGTGCAGTACACACCACCCTGGAACTAGAGGTGCTGTTTTTAGTCCTTCAGAGCCCATAAGTCCTCAAAGACTTTCCCATTTAACCAGCCGTTCCTACTCTTTTTCTATGGAGATTTCAATCACATTGACAAGCTCTTTACTTCCCCAAGCGCTTAATGTTCTTGCACCTGTTTGGGGAGCTTATTGCACAAAAGTGGTCTACCCCCACTGTGGATCCGCCTGTGTCCCACCTTAACAAAGCAACCCGAAGGTGAAAGATTTGTGTCCCTCAATGAAAATAAATGTTATGATGAGAGCAAAAATCCTTTTTTTTAATCTCTAGCTCTGGTATAGACGTTATCCAGCATACAATTTAAATGCCCGCCATGCTCTGCAGTTATTGAATGTGATTGCCAAATAGTTCTTTATTACACATGTAATAACTTTTAATCCTTACTCATAAATAAACACAAGCTTTCTTGCCTAAAAACACAGAAGCAACTGCCAATATAAAAAAATATATTTGATAAAACTGTATTTTGTGATATTACTTTGCCGTCGTGTTTTTATATAACCTGCCTTTCTATTTATCATTATCTACAATAACAGGATATCATGATGTAAGCCAGCCGTCCACAGAAAGAGCCAATTATGTATCAGTTCTTATATAATAATACTGTTTTATACAATGTTTTTGATATGTCCGGTATGATCTTTTAAAGGGGTTGTGAGAGGTCGAATGCAGTTTTAACTTTATTCTGACAGCAAATACCAGGAGCTCCTAGGGAATGATGGAGTCCTGTTTTTAATTGGCTATTTCACACAGCGGATTATGCATTTTAGCTGAAGCGGGCATCACAGAGTTAAAATCAGAACGAACAGGCTGCATATAGAGTAACATCCTAGAGCAGCTTACTGCTTTCTTCTGTCTGATATAACTTTCTGCATAGACTCTAAAATCTTCTACAGCCTTCTCTTCCCTGTGATTGTGTTACATCGCCTGTGGCTAAGCAAGCTGGATGTGAGTCCTCAGTCCAGAGACTGATATTTGTAGAGAGCCGTGTAAAAAGTAAAACATGGGCACTAATGCTGAAAACAAATCTCTGACCACAATGTTAACCTCAGCTATCTCCTGCGGTGGTTTTCTTTTTTTTATTTTGCCTACACAACCCCTTTAAAGGGTCCTTATTGCTCCATTGTGTGCCCGACCGATTTATCGGCAAGGAAAGGTCACTTCAGTTAAGAAGGAAATGTGTAATTTTCTTTCATTATTTGTTTGTACTGAAATAATAAAAAACAATGACATTTCATAAAATAACAAGATGGTTGCAAACATGACAAATGAGAGAAAATAAATTATTGTTTTGTATCCACAATGAGGAGAAATTGTGTTGCTTTGGTTTTTTGCAAATTCGACGCCGGGGGAATTTATCAAAACTGGAGTAGACCAAATTTCGAGCAGCTGTGCATGGCAACCAATCAGCTTCCCTCTTCAGTTTGTTCAGGTAAGATTTGAAAATGAAACAGAGAAGGTGATTGGTTGCCATGCAAAGCTGCTCCAGATTTTGTCTGCTCCAGTTTTGATCAATCCCCCTCACAGTGTTTAACTGACATCACTTTAAAAAACTCGCCACATGCACCATGCTCACTGGACCGGAAGCAATCTGCTCCACTAATATCTAGAGGTAGTATAGTGTAAAGTGGAAGAGGCAGAGAAAAAAACAACAGAGTGCACTTGGATAGTGGAGAGAAACACCTTTAATAAAAAAATTATATAAAATGCACCCACAAAATGGAGACTCGATAGTGAGGCTATCTGCAGGTTGGAAGCCTAACCACCACCATCAGGTCCTTTATTGAGACAGTCTGAAGGTGGCCATACACCTTACGATTATCGTATGACACTTTTCGTCCGATGATCGAACTGTCGTACGATTTTCGTACGGCGGCCCCATCCTGCCCCGATTATCGCAAGGTTCAATTGGCCGTAATTAAAGAAAAGCACCTGAATGAATTGCGGCAATCGCCCGCACGTATTTTCGTTTGCGCACGAGCATTGTAGATCGTACGATTTTTGACGTACGGAAATGTTGTTTGTTTGTTTACCACGACAGTAGAAGTAATTTGTTTCTGAAGATACGGGTAAACAACGCGATTTAACAGCCTTTGAACGTGGGATGATTGTTGGCGCTCGGAGCCATGGAGCGAGTATCAGCAAAACAGCAGAATTGGTTAAATGTTCAAGAGCAGCTGTTGTTAAAGTGTTTAAAGACCGGACTGTCAGCCGAAAATCTGGGTCTGAACGTGCGAATTGTGGCCGTCAGCGACTAGTCAATGTTAGGGCAGAACGGAGAGTGGCAAGACTGGTACAAGACAACAGAAGGGAAACAGTGCAGTGTAAGATTCCTCGCATCATCTTTCAACATCTCGAGGCGGCCCAACGAAGTCATCTCGTGGAGTCATCTTGTGGCCCAACGAAGTATTGATGGGGTGGTCATAATAATCTGGCCACTCAGTGTATAG